TTCAACACACTTGTCTATTGGGGAAAAATGGATTGGCTTCCCAGCCCACAGGTTGCTTCCTTACTCTGGAGTTATTCCTAAGAGAGAATGAAGTCAGCACTGCAATGTATTTTGGGATGCCTGAGTAGAGTGAGAACTTGGCAATAAGAGCCCTACTTTGTCATCTCCTGCCAAAGAGAAAATTGATTAGAGAAATGAGAAGAACTTTTTATTTAAATGCTACCCAATTAAATGCAGCTCAGCTTTTAAGGTAGGCCCTTATAAAATAAAAAACAACAACAAAATCTGTTCATATTCAACGGAAAAGTAATTTAACACATAAGCATTAAAATGTTGTAAATAAAAGAAATTTCATCCCTTGATTAAAATACCTTAGACTGGTGTGTCCCAACGAGTGGGGTGTGAGCCAAAGTGGATTGCCCAGGGCTGACTGCTGGGTTGCTTCATAGCAATGAGGAACAAACAATCTGTATGGATGCTAGGACCCAGCTAGAGTGAAAAAAGATGATATTTTGCTCATTCCTTCCTCCCTGTAGCATTCTGCCATCTCCTTTACCTCCTTATGCCTGAACAGAGCACAATGCTAACGTGTCTGCTGGAGCCTGTACAGACTGAAGTAATATCACAGAGAAGCATGAACTGCTCCAGTCATCTCAGTATGTTAACGCTGAAACCTATAGATTACACTTTAACTAAATATACCTCAAGACTTAAAACTAAAGATGTCATTAATGTTAATGACTATATTTCACTGCTGATTCTTTTAGCAGAAACATCTTACAAATGTGCTTATCCCGCATCATAAACTGGTGGGGAATGTAATATCAAAATAAACAACACAGGGGTCAAAGGCACTGATTGTACTATTCATTTTCTTATTTAATTCAGGAAAAACCTACTTTTAAAAATTTAAATGAAGATGCCACATAGTCTCCAGTCTGCTGCACCAAAGGGCCCCAGAAGTGAAGGACTCTGCCACAGAATTTTAAGGCCAGTTTACTCCAAAGTATGCAGGTTCTTCCTGAAAACTGACTTCCTACAAAAAATATGTTCAGGTTTTTAGAAATATTTTGTGAACCACCTGGATGTATCTAACCTGAGTGACTATGACCCCATTCCCACAAGGGGATCTATATGGCGTTCCCCATGGGCTCAGAGATCCACCTCTGCAGATTAGCTTGCAAGGCTAGGGTCCCTGTCATCATATTTCCATAACCTATGTCTGTCTTCACCCTAACCCTTTGTTGGTTAAAATCTCCCTTGTCTATGCATTCACCATTTAGACTGTGAACTCCTTGAGGTAGGAACCTGTCTTCTATTTGTCTTCTGAGAAAAGCTTAGTATGTTTGTGGGTGTTATAAAAATAACTGGAGCTGCATTCCTTGTGCCTTAACTTTCATTACCAGAATGTCAGGATAACTGCTTCCTATGTAATTAATTTCCTCTCTAAAAATATTTCACACTTTAAAAACTTATTTTAGCTGTTTTTATGCTTCTTTGTAACTAGAATATATTTTACGTTACACTGCACCTCTCCTCTAATTGACTTTTTGTCCTATGCATAAAATGTTTCACATCTTGTCTCTTAGTCCCAGGAAACTAATGCTGTTGCATTTTCTGAAGGGTGTTCTTTAATTTTAGCCAAAGAGGCTCCTTCAGATGCAACCTCTCAGATTCAGTAGAAAACTATTATGCAGTTAAAATGATTAAGTGGGATTTCTTGTTTCTCTTCCAGGTATTAAAAAGGTTCTTGCTGTGTCATTTCTGGAGATATCATAATATATAACTGACCTGAGACACAGGGTTTGTGTAGGTCCTGAAATATACTTTGTAAATCTGAGATTTATAAGCTTGATTTATTAAAATTAGATCAGTTTTTATTAATTTCTTTTAACCGCAAAATTAAGGGCACCATTTCTGTGGGATATTCTATTTTGCACAGCTACCATGCAGGCAATTTTCTTTTTCCAGGGGATTTAAAGTGGGTGGTTGTTAACATTTATAGCCCCACACCACACAAAACAACACAGCATGCTCTGGCTAGTTCCCAGCTTGCAAGCAGCAGGTGTTAGCCTTGAAAACTTTGAAGGACCTTGCCTATAAAAAACTGATGCCGCAGGATATTCTTTTGGCGATTGAAACTGCAATTGCATCAGCTTTTTTATATACAAGGCCATTCTGGAGCACTTGAGAATTGAGGATCATAAGGAAGTGCAAATATCAAGGGTACATATACCTTCTTTATTGCGTGTTGGGAACAATTTGAGGTGTCTCATTTAAGGCAATTTACACATGGAAGCCCAGGTACTGGACTTTGTGCCTCCACCGCCATGCATGCCCCTGCCACTCAAAGCACTTAGCTCATTCTTAACTGTAACTACACCTCTACCCCTATATAACGTGACCCGATATAACACGAATTCGGATATAACGCAGTAAAGCAGCGCTCCGGGGGGGCGGGGCTGCGCACTCTGGTGGATCAAAGCAAGTTCGATATAACGTGGTTTCACCTATAACGCAGTAAGATTTTTTGGCTCCCGAGAACAGCATTATATCGAGGTAGAGGTGTATATGAGTTGTCCCACCTTGTTGAATTGTGGCCTATTTCTATTTTTCTCCTCTTGTTTCCCCACCTTCTCCTGTCCCCTAGTTTCCATCCAGGTGCCTCTCCCTTTCCTAGATCCTGTCTACTCCATTCTTGCTAAAAATAAATATCCAGATGCTATTATCTGCTTCATTCCATAGTCAAGCATGCCATCTCTGCCTGTATCCCTGATGTACAACGCCATAGTGTAGAGGAATCTACATTATAAGCAGGGTTTGGACTTGATCTGCTGTAAAAGATCCCTGTCAACAGTTTGGTCCAGTCCCTATTTCTGAATGGACACCAGTCTGTTCTGAGGGGATCCATCTTCTGAATCTAACATGCTGCTAAACTCCCTGCATCTAGGCAGTGCCTCATGACTATTCCTAGTATTGGGTCCCTTGTTTATGTACTGCCAGGAAACACAAGCTACTTTTGATTGCTGGGAAATCAGTGGGAACAAAACAGTATGTATTCTCTATTTAATCAGAAAGATATTTTAAGATGGTTTCACTTTTATCTCTGGATAGATAGTCAAGGAGTTAACTACTCAGCTGGACTAGTGCAGTGCTAGAATAGAGCTGTATTGTTTATAGTTGAAACAATACCAGTTTGTTTCTGATGAGTACTCATGGTTATATACTACATTGTTTCATAAAAGCATAGAGTAGACAAATGCAAATATTCACTGCTTGCACTCAGTACAACTTACTCCATTTTTGCCTTACTGAAGACACTGCTCAGTTGGAACTCTGGAACTAGGACAGTTGTCTTGTATTTGTACAGGGGGAACTTGCTGCTTTAAAAGGCTGAAACTTTGTCTCTAGTTTTAGCTGTAAATTCACACAGTTGTGTATGGGAGCCTATCAGGCAAACCAGAGACAGCCTCTAGATATAGATTCCTATACGATCCCAATGTATTGCAGTATGAAAAGGACAAATTAATGACTATGCAATGTATTTGCAAGAAAAAAGTTTCTAAAATTACTATATAAAGGGAATTCAGAGGAACCTGTTCCCTATCACCCATGTCTGTAGAGAAGATGGGGAGAAACCCATGATGCTGCTGCCTTACATGAACTGGGGGAACCTTAAGCTGTTCCTGCCCCAGTGCAAGTTCGTAGATGCCCACAATCTTCAGGCAACTTCCCAGCAGGATCTTGTTCATATGGCTTCAGATTATCCGTGGAATGAGCTATTTAGCCAGAAGGGAGGTCACTCACAAAGACATGGCTGCTAGAAACTGGGTCATTGATGATGCACTTTAAGTTAAGATTACAGACAATGTGTTATCCCAAGACCTATTCCCCATGGATTATCATTGTCTGGGAGATAATGAAAACAGGCCAATGTGGTAGATGGCTCTTGAAAGCTTTGTTAACAATGAAATTTCCAGTGCTAGTGATGTGTGGGGTTTTGGAGTAACACTGTGGGAGCTGATGACTTTGGGGCAGATTCTGTATGTGTATATTGACCCCTTTGAGATGGCTGCATAGCTAAAGGATGGATACAGAGTTGATACTGAATTTAAAAGGGGATTCAAAGTTGACAGTGTTTTGTTTTTGGCACTGCTCTTATTTCAAGCAGAAAAGCTACAGATTGAGTTTTCAGGTAGAAGTTCAAAATGTTCCTCAGTGACTTAGGACACTAAGTGCCAATTTCAAAAGTGATATAGGCACTTAGGGACTCAGCAACTCCCGTAGGCTGCTAAAGTGGTTATATTGTTTTTGAAAATGCGTGTTAGGGTCCTAAGTCACTTAGACACTTTGGAAAGTTCAATTCTCTTTACTGCCAAGGAATAGAACACAATGTAACCACGAAAAAAAGAATTAAAGAACAGTAAGTTGTGAACAAACTATTCTGAATACTATTAATGTATTTATTATTATTATTTATTATTATTATTATTGTATATTATGGTAGCACATAGAAGCCTTCAACCAGTCTCATTTTGCTAGGCCCTGCACACAGACATAATAAACAGAGAGTCCCTGGCTCAGTGAGTTTACAATCTAGCTGCACCATATGAGGAGACAATAAGAGGTGGATAAACAAATAAATTGAGGGAGGATAAGGTAACCAGAGAAACAATCCTAACTAGCTCAATAAGTGAAAGTGTCAGCACACCAATTGCCTAGCTATTGTTGAGTGGTTTATAGGTAGTGCAGTAGAGGTAAATTTTAAGTCAGAATTTGAATTATGGTAACACACACAAAATAATTTAGTCTACTAAGCCGGTCACATTTTACAATGTATTTTACAGTAGTAAAGTTAAGTCCGGGAACCTCCCTGTTAAAATCTTGTAAACCATCTCAAGAGGCTGAATGGAATAAATTTGAGTCCGTGATGATAAAAGTACAGATTATACAGAATTTCCATGATTCTAACTTTTTCAGGCTAAAGGAAAGTGATACAGCACCGCTAGAGATACACAGACTTAATTACACCACGGGATAAGTAGGGCTGCGCCAATGAAGGACAAAGTTGACAGGAAAAAAAAATTGTAAGTAAAGATGGCAGTGTCATGCCAAACTTGTGACAAATGAAATGGCTGTGCTTTTACTGTTATTACAGCAAGGCAGCAGTCAAGGGGAAAAGCAGAAGATTGACAAATAAAATGGAAACCAGAAACAAAGATAAATAGGCACTGGCAATAAATATCTTGCTATTTGTACATTAAGGGTGAAATCCTGGCCCCAGTGAAATCAATGGGAGTTTTATACTAGTATTTTAGGTCAGTGCTTCCTATACTGTCAGCCATTGCTTCCTTGTGGAGCCACAAATGGTTCATGGGGGAGCCCCTGGTGTTTGGGAATTAAAAAAAAGTCCTGTCTAAAGAAACAGTTGCTCCTCACAAAGCCATAGGAGCATCTTATATTGTGACCAGGTGAAGTGCAAAATGCAAACAGGCACACACCATAGGCAAGGCCCTTCTACTTCCAGCAATACTAGATGTATAGAATTATGATTAGTGAGCACGCAGCCATGACACTGAAAACCATTCCTATGTCACATAATGCCATCTGTCGATGCACTGATGGATGCAGAAAATGTCCAGGATAGACCAAGTTTATAGACCAAGGAAAGAGGAGTCAATATTTTGCACTGCACCTTGATGAATCCACACACATAGCCAATATGGCTCAGCTTCTATGTTATGAGAGATTTGTCACAGCTGGTCCAATAGTTGAAGAACTTCTATTTTGCAAAGAAATCCCAACCCAAACAACCACTGAGGAAATATTCAAGACCCTTGATACATTCATAGCAGAGGAAAGTCTCAAATGGACTATGTAGGTGGGTTTTGCACTGATGAGGCAGCAGCTATGACCAGAAAGACCAGTGGAGGTGCAGCACAAATCAAGTGGTGTCAGCAGCAGTCTGGATACACGGCATAATTCAATGCCAAGCTTTGGCATCAAAAAAGTTGCAACCTGAAGTACATGAGGCCCTTAAAATTGTTATTAAAATTATTAATTTTGTAAAATCCCAGGCAGTGAACACACATTGTTTTAGTATGCAGTGTGACTAGATGAGCTCTGAGCCCACTCAGCTTCTGTTTCACAGTGAGGTCTGGTGCTGGGGATGGGGGAAAGTGTTACAACCCTCTTTGAATTGCATGATGAAATGAGAATTTCCCCCTTGGGAAAACAGACCTTTCAGATTACACATGCAATGTGGACTTCTTGACTTACCTAATGGACGTATTTGGCAAATTGAATGCACTGAACCTAACGCTTCAAGGTAGAAGTACAAATATACCAGATATAAAAGAGAAGATCAAGGGATTCATGAAGAAACTTTGTCTTTGGTGAAGTCACACTGAAAAGGGAATTATTGAGATGTTTCCAGTGTTATCAGACTTTTTAAAAGAACAAAGTGAAAATAATCAAAATGCCATTAAAGATCAAAGATCAACTAATTTGTCTGGGTTGTATTCCCATTTTGATTAATATTTTCTTGGCGTTGAACATTAATCTCCAGATACTGACTGGATTCTAAACCCATTCTCGGTAATTGTTGACTCCATTCCAACGTTAAGTTAAAGCAGAGGACAAAGAACTCAGTGATGAAACTATGAAAGTGCTGGTTCTGTGAGTCTGGATTTTCAGCAATGATTTCTGTGAAAATTAAACAGAGAAATAGTTTAAACTTGGAAACTGACTTATGTCTGGTGCTATCACAGATTCAACCAATCATTGTGCATCTATGCAGTTTGAACCAGGCCCATCCTTGTTGGTAAAATCTTAGGCTGTGTCCAAACATGCCATAAATCCATATTTTCAAATTATAGTTTGAAAAAACCTGGATTAGATTGGCTTTTATAATTAAGCATACATCATATAGTTGAAAAAAGTCACAAAACTGTCTAAACTCTAGTGTGCCTCTTGAATCTAGTCTCTTGAACTATTGAATCTGGTGTCCTGAGTCAGTAAAAATATTGTATTCTGTTCTGAGGAGCCAAAATATCTCTAAGTACTAAAAGGCTTGCGAACCATGGTTCTAGGTAACTTTGCGGTCGGTAGGGCAGACACATTAAAAAGAGAGATGTCAAAGACTATATTGGATGCTTTGAACCACATCCCCAGTTCTGAAATTAAGGGAACTATGTGGATTTATATCAACTGGAGATATTATTATTGATTATTTGTATTACTGTAGCACCAAGGAGTCTTAGTCATGGACCAGGACCTCATTGCGCTAGGCTGTGTACAAACACAGAACACAAAACGATGGCCACTGCCCCAAAGAGCTTACAATCTATGTACGACAGCTGGAGGCAGACAGACAGACAGACGTGGAAGGACAAGGAAACAAGGAGACGATACTGGTCTGCATCATAGGCAGTGGTCTTTGCACACCAACAGCCTAAAACAGTCAGGTTTTTTGTAGGCATCACAGCAAAATAAGAGTTTTGAGGAGGGATTTGAAGGTGGATAATCACAGGGCTTTGCGGAGGTTTACAGGGAGCTCCTTCCAACCGTGAAGGGCAGCATCAGAGAAAGCACAAAGGTGTTTGTTTTAAAATGTAACAAGTTTATAATGGAGACTGGCATCTCTTGTCCCTTTGTGACTAAAAACATCTTCAAGTTGTACCCTTTTGCCCAAGGGAGAAATCTCTTGAAGTAGTGATCAACTGTAGTGTACCATAGGTATGACATTGATAGTGTTAATCTGTAAAATATGAGGATACATTAACAGACCTTATATATAAGAATGATGTACTGTAGTCTGAAAAATTTTCAGTGACAATATAAAGTGCAGAAAACATTTCGCATCTATCACGTTAGAAAGGTCAGTCTTGGTAAAACTGCTTTAAAACATGTGCATTGCTCTGTACAGTGTTACTGCAATACAGAAGAACCACAATAAAACATGAATAGTCCCATAAAAGTGTATTGATCTCCTGCTTTACCACATCACATACACACTAGGGAGTATGTTCCGATTTCCAGGTGCAGGGATTTATGATCAAAACCCTTCCACATTGAAGTGAAACCATGCTGCACCTCTAAGTGTGGTCTGAGACTTACTGAATGTAGTACAGCAAAATTTCCAATAGCAAAAGGAATATTTTGTATTGTACTATTATTGTATAACTAAATTAGTATAACAGATCTTTTTGACATGTTGCTTAAAATAGTTTGTGTTTCTACACTAAAATTTAAACAGTGATCAATACCAGGTGCACTCATTACTGTTAACTGATGTAGAATGTGCTAGTGTACACAAGGCCTTGTTGTCCAGATCCAATCCAACATTGAACTCTGATTTTTTTTACTCGATATATTTACAATCTGAACTATAGCTATTAAAAAAAAGGGACAAAAAGGTGGACCTGGAGAATTATAGACCAATCAGCCTAACTTTGATACCTAGAGAGAGACTGGAACAAATTGCTAAACAGTCAGTTTGTAAGTATCTAGAGCAGGGCTGGCCAACCTGATCCTGAGAAGGAGCCAGAATTTACCAATGTACATTGCCAAAAAGCCACAGTAATACATCAGCAGCCCCCCATCAGCTCCACCCCCACCCCCACTCCCAGCACCTCCCGCCCACTGGCAGCCCTGCCGATCAGTGCCTCCCCCTCCCTCCTTCAGCTGTTTCGTGGCATGCAGGAGGCTCGGGGGGGGGAGTGGGAGGAGCCAGGGCACTGCAGGCTCTGGGGAGGGGTGGAGTGGGGGCAGGGCCTGTGGCAGAACCAGGGGTTGAGCAGTGAGCACCCCCCGGCACATTGGAAAGTTGGCACCGGTAGCTCCAGCCTCGGAGTTGGTGCCTATACAAGGAGCTGTATATTAACTTCTGAGGCGCTGCATGTGGCTCTGGAGCCACAGGTTGGCCACCGCTGAGCTAGAGGATAATAAGGGGATAAGTAATAGTCAACATGGATTTGTTCAGAACAAATCATTTCAAACCAATTTCCTTGTTTGACAGGGTAACTGGCTTAGTGGACGGGGGGAAGCAGTAGACATGATATAGCTTGACTTTAGTAAGGTTTGACACAGTCTCACATATATAGTGTAGCTGTAGCCGTGGTCGGTCCCAGGATATTAGAGAGACAAGGTGGGTGAGGTAATATCTGTTATTGGACCAAGTTCTGTTGATGAGAGTCCCACATGACATTCTCAAAAGCAAACTAGGGAAATATGGTCTAGATGAAATTACTGTAAGATGGGTGCACAACTGGTTGAAAAACTATACTCAAAGAGTAGTTATCAATGGTTCAATGTCAGACTTGGAGGACATATCAAGTGGGGTCCCACAGGGATCTGTCCTGGGTACAGTACTGTTCATTATTTTCATTAATGACTTGGATGTTGGAGTAGAGAGTATGCTTATAAAATTTGTGAATGACACCAAGTTGGGAGGGGTTGCAAGCACTTTGGAGGACAGGATTAAAATTCAAAATGATCTTGATAAATTGGAGAATTGGTCAGAGATCAATAAGTTGAAATTCAATAAAGACAAGTGCAAAGTACTTCACTGAGGAAGGAAAAATCAAATGCACAAATTCAAAAAGGGAAATAACTGGCTAGGCAGTAGTACTGCAGGAAAGGATCTGGGGGTTATGGTAGACCACAAATTGAATGTGAGTCAATAGTATGATGTTGTAAAAAAGGCAAATGCCATTCTGGAATGTATTAATAGGAGTGTCGTATATAAGATATGGGAGGTAATTGTTCTGCTCTACTTAGCACTGGTGAGGCCTCAGGAGGAGCACTGCGTCCAGTTTTGGACACCACACTGTAAGAAAGATATGGACAAATTCGAGAGAAAGTCCAGAGGAGAGCAACAAAAACAATAAAAGATTTAGAAAACATGATCTATGAGGATAGGTTGAAAGAACTGGGCATGTTTAGTCTGAAGAAAAGAAGGCTGAGGGGAGACCTAATAACAGTCTTCAAATATGTAAAAGGTTGTAAAGAGGACTGCAGAAATTGCTCACCATGTCCTCCAATGGTGGGACAAGAAGATTACTTTGCAGCAACGGAGATTTAGATTAGATATTAGAGAAAACTTTCTAACTGTAAGGGGAGTTAAACTCTTGAATAGGCTTCCAAGGGAGCTTGTGGAATCCCCAGAATTGGAGGTTTTTAATAATAGGTTAGACAAACACCTGTCAGGGATGGTCTAGGTATACTCAGCGCAGGGGGCTGGGTTAAATGACCTTTTGAGGTCTCTTCCAGCCCTACATCTCTGTGATTCCATATGTATGCCCTAACCCCATAAATAGAATATTAAGTCACAGCAGTTTATATGTCTTCTGAGTACTGTCAGTAAGCATATATACAATTTACAGATATTGGATCTGATTTCTCCTCTCTCACCAATTTTTACACTAGTGTAACTCTGATTTACACCTGCATTAAGTAAGAGGACAATCCTGCCTCTTATCTTCATTTAAGGGCCCTCCATTTCTTATTTTAAAAATGTGATGATTGGGGTTAATAATTAAGCACTGCATAAGAGCTAGACATTATTATTTCTATTTGTTACTATTTAATAATAATAGTGTGCCACCTCTTTGAAAATATGCTAGTCTCTTTGGAGGATGGGAGGTGAGGGAAGAGGAGGTTGTGCCTGTACATAACCTGTCTTTCAGAAGCAGGGGGGAAGAGATCCCTTGCCTTGAGGCTGGGCACAGAAAGCCTGCAGCTTTGCTTTCAACCCCTGGTGCTCCATATTACAAACACCTAGTCCTGTTGTCTGAGCAATCAGTATGCAGCTGCTCACGGGAGCGGGTGCTTGTGAAATGAAATACAATGGTGGGGAAAGCAGACTAGAGTTAAGTTATGAATAGGCATCCAAACTTTTGAATACGCATCTGAACTTTCAGACCACTGCTATTTTTAAAGCAAATCAAAATTAAAACCTTTAAAGACATATGGTTGCAGTTCTTGGCTTCCTAACAGCTACTGCTCAAGCAACTGACCTTTGAAAGTAGCACGTTGAACATGCTGGCTCTAAGGACTTGTCTATATGGGAGAAATTGACTGGCATAGCAATTCTAGAATAGTTCTAATTTTATTAATTTTCTATTCTTGAAAAATTCCCCAGTGTGTGTTGGAGTAAAAGTGATTTTATTCTGGAATAATTACTTCACTTTGTATTATTCTGGAATAAAGTCACTGGAAGAATGTCCACATGGAGAGCTATTCCAGTATATGGAATAACTAAGTTCACAATACCTGTGCTTAGGCCTTGGGCAGTTAAAACATTCACTTAAATATTGTATTCCTATTTGTTGGTTTTTGAAACACCAATTACCAAATATAATGATCACTTGTAAAATTTGTTCTGCTTTAAGTGAATGTTACAGAATACACCCTTAATTTATATTTCAATAAACAGTTTAATAAGTTTTAAAATAGCATTATTTCTTGATGTTTAAAAATAAAATAAATACTGGTATGTGTCTGCACTCAGGGCCGGCTCTAGCTTTTTTGCCGCCCCAAGCAAAAAAAACAAACAAACTGGCAGCCGCAGGGAGCACGTGGAGGGCGATCAAGGCAGCTCGCAGGGGGGTGAAGGGTGGTGCCCGCTCGCTCCCTCCTCCCGTGGGCAGCCACTCACAGCCTGCTCACAGCTGGGCAAGAGGGACTCCCCCCTCCGGCCTTGGGGTGCCTCTCTCAGTCGGGCAGGCGGAGCCCCCGGGGGCTGCAGGAGGTGCTGGCTCAGCCGCTCCTTTAAAGGTGGCTCAGCCGGGCCAGGCTCAGAGCGGCACAGGAGGCGGAGGCCAGTGCAGGCGGCAGAGAGTGGCGCATCCTGGGGAGCCCGGCGGCATGGTGAGCGGCGGGGATCGCTAGTTCCTGTCCCCCCGGGCCGGGGTCCATGCCCCTGCAGGGCTGGGCAGGGACTGGCGGAGCGCAGGGAGCCGGCCGGGGGCTCTGGAGCAGATTGGCTGGAATGCCGCCCCTTACAATGTGCCGCCCCAGGCACATGCTTTCTCATCTGGTGCCTGGAGCCAGCCCTGTCTGCACTAAAGACTGCTACACAGGGACTTTTTTGTGATAAGATAAATCTCAGTGAGTTGACATTGCAGGATTTGGGAATTTTTTGTGAAAACGTAAATTTCACAAAAATTGTGCTCATTCATTTCCATTGAGAGAACTGATGTGTTCGAGAAATACATTTTCAATAATTACCTGCATTACATATATAATAGTATAAATCTAGAGGTCAACTTATATGGATAATGATCGTATAATATTTAATTCTGAATTTGTGGTTATCATATTGAAGATTTAATAACCTTATCATACAATTAAAGATATTTAATTATTACATTTTCTATCCTCTATGAATGTTCTTAATTACTCTGGAACATATTTTACCAGCATTTTAAAGCAGACTTCCCCACTGATATAAGTGGGAATCTCTCTTTAACAACTGATGGGATGATGTGGCTCTGTTTTTTAAAACTATGGACCAAATCTTGCTTGCCTTACTGACAGATAGTTCCATGGAGTCAATGTGAACAGTAGTTGGGAAACTAAATTTAAAGTGTTCATGTAATATGTGTATTTCTGTACGCCGAGAAAGGGTTAAATTTTTAACTCTGATTGTTTTCTCTAGTTAGGGCGATCCAAAACTCATTGAAGTCAAGAAGGTTCTTATTATTGACTTCAGTGGGCTTCGTCAAGCACTTGATGCCTTGAGGTCCAGCTGTGGAGTCCTGACACATTAAAATTCCAGTAGACGTTAAGGACTGCAGAAATTGGTCCTTTATGTTTGAGATTTACTCTAAAGATTAAATCCTGGCCTCATTAAAGTCAATGGCAAAACTCCAACTGACCAAAGTGAGCCTTTCCCTTTTTCATTGTTTACCTCTAATAAGTGGCTTTATCTTTGTGAATCTACTGCATAATGTATGTTAACATCATTGTTTATGTTTCATGAATATTGACAAGTATCTTTTTTAAACTTGCAGCACGTAGTGGCAGCAATAAATACAGGAATCATACCTTTAAGAAACACATCTCAAATCAGTCACTGGGACATGGGAAGTTCCTTCTTCTTTGCTGGCACTGTTATTACCACCATAGGTAGGACACAACTTATTATATTTTTACAGTACATGAGCTGTAATTTAATTTCAAATATGTGTGGGCATGAATGGCAGTGGGGATTAATAGTAATGATGGCAAATCTTCTAATTTATAATAGAGTTACAATGTAGCCTTAGGGATAGAAATACGAGATTTCCTTCAGGGATGCAGACTATCTAAGTGACCCATTAATGAGAAGTAGATTTCTGTGATATGTCTTTAATAGAATGTGAAAAAGTTTTGTGAGGAGAAAGTAATGTTTGAATTTAGTAGCTATGTTATCAAAATAGCTCAATATTAGATGTTTTAAATCAAATATGTGCATTAAGCCATTGTGGTATGCTGAGCTGCAAATCTCTGCAATCATGCATTTTTACTGTTGTCCTTTATAAATTCCAAGTGAGATGAGAAACTTCTAGGGATTCAGTTTAACCTTACTCAGGGCCGGCTCCAGGCACCAGCGTAGCAAGCAGATGCCTGGGGCAGCCAATGAAGAGGGTGGCGGCACGTCCGGCCGTTCGGCGGCAATTTGGCGGCGGGGCCATCACTCCCTCTCGGAGCGAAGGACCTGCTGCCGTAGAATGAAGCGGCAGTAGAGTTGCTGCCGCTTGCGATCGGGGGTTTTTTTTTTGTTTTTTTTTCTGCTTGGAGCGGCAAAAATGCTAGAGCCGGCCCTGACCTTACTAAGGGCTGGTCTTCACTACAGGGAGATGACACTGCTACAATCGATGCAGCAGGGATCGATTTAGCAGACCCGCTAAATCGATGGCAGAGTGCTCTCTGGTTGACCCCGGTACTCCAGCTCTCCGAGAAGAGTAAGGGAAGTAGACCAGAGAGCATCTCCCATCGATGCAGCGCAGTGAAGACACTAGGGTAGGATGACCTAAACTACGACTTAGTCTAACGTAACTTAGGTGGACTTACCCCCGTAGTGAAGACAAGTCGAAAATCCATTATAAAAATGGCTTTCATAGTCAGACTAGCATATAACAGCTTGGCTTGCTTTTCAGCAAGTTCCTGTTTGGTTCAATGAATCTCAGAGCCGCCAGATGATTTGTCTGTGGCCACATGCTTAGTCAGCAGTTGGCAACGTAGACTCTTTCAAACTCTTAAGAGCCATTTCTCTGCTGTGCAGGTGTAAATAAAAGCAATATTTGACTTTTTAAGTCCTTTGTTCTGACCTCAAGACAATGCAGCTTCCTTATATCCTAGATATTGATTTATGTATGTGCAGTCCTTTTTGTTCTCCTGTTTATTTTAAATTATGGGATAAGTCTGTAGGGGATAGAATGGGCACCCATAAAATATTTATAAATTTATAGAAAAAATAAATTTATAAATGCAGCATGTAGTCAATTATGCAGATCATTTTAGCACCGTTAAAATTTTTATTGTAATGTAATCTTTACATACATTTCTTCCAGGAAAAGGATGCTCTCTTCAATTGTGTTTAATACAGTGACTTGAGTTCCTCTTTTATATAGGTGCATTTTATATTCCATTTATTGTCTGTAAGTTTATATCTGTGTATATACATGAGCGTGTGTATGTGCATATTGTGATAGACCCAGACCAGTTGGGAACAGTAGAGTAGCAGAAGGGAGATATACTGGCCACTGGATAAGTAGTTTTCTGTTCCCTGAATGACCAGAGCAGGGGCTGCTCCAGGCTAATAGACCACCTGACTCCAATTAACCTGCTAAGAGTCAGGTGAGGCAGTTAAGCACCTGACTCTAATTAAGGCCCCTCTGATGCTATAAAAGGGCTCACTCCAGTCAAGCCAGGGGGAGCCAGAGGAGAGGAAGTGTGTGTGAGAGGAACTGGGAGCAAGAGGTGTGCAAGAAGCTGAGAGTGAGTAGGCGTACTGCTGGAGGACTGAGAAGTACAAGCATTATTGGACATCAGGAGGAAGGTCTGGTGGTGAGGACAAAGAAGGTGTTGGGAGGAGGCCATGGGGAAGTAGCCCAGGGAGTTGTAGGTGTCGTGCAACTGTACCAGGAGGCACTCTAAACAGCTGCAGTCCACAGGGCCCTGGGCTGGAACCTGGAGTAGAGGGCGGGCCCAGGTTCCCCCCATACCTCCCAACTCCTGATCAAACACAGGAGGAATTGACCTGGACTATAGCTTCTACCAGAGGGGAAGGTCTCTGGACTGTTTCCTGACCCACAGGGTGAATCTGTGAAGCGAGCAAATCCGCCAATAAGCGCAGGACCCACCAAGGTAGAGGAGAAACTTTGTCACAATATATATAATAATATGTGTGTATGTCTGTAATGTTTTGGCAAGTCATAAACAACCAAAACAATCAGCATATAGGATGAAATCCTGGCCCCATTGAAGTCAATTGCAAAATTCATATGCTCTTCAATGAGTCCAGGATGTCACCTATAGTGAAACATAAAAGAAATTATCAAAATATAAATGTCAATCTAATACATGCCAACAAAATCAAGGGAATTCAGAAGCAAGGCTATGACATTGGCCTTGAGTCACTCTTCTTTATCTAATATCAATAGGCTTTTTTGCCTCAAATTAATCTCACTTTAATGGTGTAATATGTATTAGAAGTTGTCAAGAACTTATTCTAGTTCATTAGGGTTTTCTTTCTAAATTCCTCATTTCTTCCTATTATTTTGAATATTTTAAACAATAGGAAGAAATAAGGCATTTAGTTCCAAATAAACCAGCATGCACAGTCCTGAAAAGAACTGAGTGAAATCAAAATATCCTTCCTGCAGGACATTCTAATATTTTAACCTTTTGTTTGTGACCCGAATCAGGACAAAGAATTGAAACATCAAAAACTTTTGTGGAATGACACATTTTTAAAAAATGATTTGGAAATGGTGAAATATTTCATTTTGGCATTTTCTATCAAAACAAAACATTTTGGTTTTCCTGAAACTAAATGTGTTTTGTTTCAGTTTGTTGAACTGTCGCAAAATGTTTCATTTAGAGTCAATACAATATTAAACTGCATTCCCCTATGGTGGCACATAGAAGTTGTAATTCAGGTTTGATGCCCCAATTCTTTCGTAGGGCCATAATCCCAGGCCAGGTGACCTTTCAAGGAGCCATATGACTTCCTTGATGTATCATCCTGCTTAGGCACAGGAGAGAAGTACTGTGGACAGCAAGCCTGCTCCATAGAAAAGAATGGGGGTATTGGGCCTCAGAATTACATCTCCCATGGGGCAATGTGTCACAACAGGGAAATGCAGTTTAATGCTGAACTAACTTCAAATGCAACATTTTGGATCAGGTCAATAAGCCAAAATAATTAGATTTGGGTTGAAATGACCCCAAATTAAACGTTTGGTATCACTTTTCCTAACAGAAAATCAAAACATTTTGGCAAAATCAAAATAATTCTTCAGAAATTTCAAATGTGCAGAAACTGCATTTTCCACTGATGGAAAATTCCTGACCAGCTCTTGACCTGCACAAAGGCTTATTTTTGTTTCTAAGTAATATAGGCACTACATTAAGAACTATGTTTGTTCTTTTGTTTTCTAATCCTTCCTAGATTAATAAACAAAATACTAAACTGAATTAGGCAATAGAAATTATCCTCACTTCTAAAATGTACTAGTTACCCCCACCCAAAGTCATGGCTTTACTTTGTAACATATTTGACATCACATCATCCCATCGTGACACAGAGGCCATGTCTACACTTACCGGGGATTGACGCTGCTGCAATCAATGCAATGGGGGTCGATTTAGCAGGCCTAGTGAAGACCCACTAAATTGATGGCAGAGCACTCTCCGGTTGACTCTGGTACTCCACTGGAACGAGAGGAGTAAGGTAAGTCAACAGGAGAGTGTCTCCCATCGACGCAGCACGGTGTAGTGCTGTAAGTCAACCTAAGCTACGTCGACTCCAGCTACATTATTCACGTAGTTAGAGGAGCGTATCTTAGGTCGACTTACCCCGGTAGTGTAGACAAGGCAAGGGAAGCAAATTGATGATGGTGCAGAGGGCTTGTGATGTGCTGGAAACTTGGCTGCCATGAAAACCCTGAGAGAAGTGATTAAATCAGAACTAGTGTTATTTTTTGCTGTGATTTTGCTGGTCCTGCAAAAAAATATTCTCAGTGTGTGATTTGACTCCTTATAGCATGATGACATGTGATCAAGTGATACTGACTCTTGATGTTACAGAGCCCGAAATACATTTAGGAATTTCTGTCCTAAATGTATTTCAGGCTCTGTAATATCAGGACTCAGTATCACTTGATGAAACTGAGGCATTCCTGCCAATTTTGGGACAGATGGCAGTTACCAAATTTGATATTTTAAATGTTCATGAGACTGAAAATGCAGGCCATGGACATCCCCAAAGAGTTTTCATGTGATAGTCTATGCAGAATTCCAGAGGGAACTTTATAATTATTTTCTTATATTTGTTCATTCTTTAATAACAAGCAATACCTCAGCCATGTACTTGAATACATGAGAAAGATATTACTACCATTTACAGAAAATTATAGCTATTAAGTATAACAGCTGACAGCACGTTCCCTGGTTTTCTTAATTGCTCATCTATATAGATCTTTATCTAATCATTTCTACCACACTCATCACTGTAGCATCTAGGCATCTCAGAATTCTTAAGGGGACTGAAAGGTTTGCCTCTATAGAACTTTTGTTTAAACCTTCTCCCAGGGGTACAATTCCTGTTATATATTTATCCATCACTGTCAAGTAGACTGGCTACCACTTACCTGGAGGGATTGACAAACCTATAATTAGCGATTCATCATGGTGGTTGAACCTTTTTCTCTGCCGCACAATCAGAGGGACAAACAGGGAAAAGAGTTTTCAATTGGGTAAATTCAAATACTATAGTGATGGAGCCACATGAGTACATAGATAGATAGAGCTGTTCAAACCATGCCAATTTTGACAGACTTTCTAGGTGCTGTTGATGCATATGGTTTCACATTCTTTGAATTTCATTTAGAGTTTCAGATTCACTCAAACCCAGAAAGCTT